CCACACATTGCTGTGGCCCAGTCTGCATATATATCTTGTATGTGTGTGTGCATGTGTGTATATATTTGTGTATATATGTTGTTTTGTGCATGCATTGTAATGCATTTTTTGTTTTTTTGGCTTTTTAAGTCTCATATGCTATGTTTTTCAGTGTTTTTTTTTGAGCGATGGTCACTCATTGGCCTGATAGGTGTATTGTGTCCAAATTTGGTGTCAATTTGCCCAGTGGTTTTTGAGTTGTGTTAATCCCACAAACTAACATTACATTTTTATTTATATAAATCAACCCAGTATTTAATAGCAGCACTGCAAATTCACTAGATCCAATGGATGAACTGCCAGGTATCTGTAAGCTTGAGTAGGTGATGAGAATGGAACAGTCTGGTTCCTTCCTTCTCTACCACTTTCCTTCCTTATCCCCCCCCCCCCCTTTTCTGTCCCTTCTTTATTTTCTTCCTTCCCATGCACACATGTTTGACTCTCAAGGCTGGTATGGTCTTTCCTTTGCGCAGGAGAGGGTAGGGCAAGGGGAGTTCTTTCTGCACATGCACTGAATCATCATTTAGGTTTATTGGGGGGTTTTTAAGTCCCTTCTGCTGTGTTTGTCTGTGTTTTTGTGAGTGATCGTCACTCATTGGTCCATTAGGTGTCTTCTGGCCAAAGTTCGTGTCATTTCATCCAGTGGTTTTTTCCAATTCCTTGCAATTATAATTCTTGCCACTGTGAGTAAAATAATCACTAAATCTTTTTTTTTTCCATTTCTAAATTCAACTTTGTGGCATCCATTAGTAATGCTAACCTAGCATCCGGAGTAATATTTAGTCCTATAATATTACCTATTTCAATAAATATATTTATTGAAATATGTAGTGGTTTCGTCTAATCACTTCTAATATAATGCATAATTTGGGGGCAGGCCCTAACAGAACATTGTGATCCATAGATACAAACTACAAGATGATTAATAGAAAATGAAAATGCTGGCTCTCTAATATTATCTCACATATCATGTAAATATTCTTGGCAATTTTTGCTATAGCAGATAGAATTCAGGGTAGTCTGGGTGGGATGCTGCTATGCCTTCTATACATTGAGGGAACACATTGAGAAATCTGTTCTCAAATGACATTGTGAAGATGGAGCACTGGTAGTCATAAATCTGAAGCACTTGACTATGCATAAAAAACCATTAAGACACAAGTTTCCCAGTACATATATGCATTAGACATGTGCATTCGGGGGAAATCCTGTCCCGTTTCATGTCCCAGCTTTTGTTGGGGGGAGGGGGATCCCTTTTTTGTAGGATTAATGAAATGGGAGGATTGTTTTTTGGTTCTTTCTTTTTGGGGTCTAAAAATCAGACCATTAATGGTGGGGGGGGGGCGCTTCCCACCCTCTGGCTCCCCTTCCTGGCATGTGTTCTTCTTACCTGGCACCTGCTGTTTCTACTCTAGAGCAAGAGGAACTCAGTGGCAGGCATGCTCTGGGCTTGCCTGCATGCCCTGCAACACACAAATTTTCTTTCCAATGCAAGGAGGCAACTTTGGATGCACAAAAAAGCAGGCTTTCATGTCGAGCAGATTTTTGTGTGGGGAGGGGGCTTTCCATTTCATGCTTCTGAAGAAATGGAAGATACAAAAGTAATGGTAGTAAGAAATTTAGCGCACATGTCTCATATGCATCTATCTTCAAACTTCCTCTGAATATAGATAGCTCCACGTAAAGTAAGAAATGTAACTATTGTTAATACAACCATTGCTTCCACACAGCTGAATAAAATCCCACATTATCTGCTTTGAACTGGAATGCATGGCAGTATGGACTCAGATAACCCAGCTCAAAGCAGATATTGTGGATTATCTGCCTTGATATTCTGGATTCTATGGCAGTGTGAAAGGGCCTTAAGATGAACATATGTTTATCTCACTATTCAACAATTGATTCAATTAGGTCTGCTATAGTTGGGATTAAACAACTGATTTCAGTACAGTGAATATTACTTACACAAGATGTACAAAAGTCCCAATTCTTGTGAGTGTTTACCTATGTTTATAACTAATTTGTAATTAAATACAAGAATCCTCAAAAATATAGAGTTCAAACCAAGTGTATAGCGGTTTCGGTGTAAACCGAACACATATGTATTTATGTGAATAAATGGACACATTCTCATTGTGTGGCTGCCTCCAGGACCGGTCTGAAGCACTTGCCATCAGAACTGGTCTTAGATTTACCAACTGGACAAAACGCTGAAGGCCAGAACTTCATTAATACTCTGCTCATAGCCATTATTTAAAAAGAGCTTATAGAAGGATGAGGTCTACAGCTGCCACGGGTTATGTACCAGCCAAGAGTCCTGAGACCTTACATGGATATCTATTTATTGTACTCTGTCCTGTATTCTTCCTGGTTTATTTTTTAGACGGAAATCATATCATTATTATTATTATTAACTTTATTTATAACTTTATTTATACCCCGCTAAAATCTCCCGAAGGACTCGATGCGGCTTACAAAGGCCAAGGCCACCAACAAAACAACAGCATAAAAATACAACAGTAAAACTCATAAAGCAAATAATAAAACATCAAGCAAAACAATAAACACTAAAAACAATGACACCATGATGCATTTAAAACCTAAGGCTGGGCCAAATATAATGGACAAAATTTAAAAAGTGCTGGACATGACGGGTGAAATGTAGAGGTTTTTGGAGGTASGTGCAATGTGCAGACAATCCTAAAACTCTGACAAAGTGCATTTGGGACATGATGCTAGGAAYTTCCTATTCTGGAAAGGCACACTGGAACAGCCAGATCTTCAGGCTCTTCCTGAAGACTGYCAAYRTTGGGGCTTGTCTGATGTCCTTGGGGAGAGAGTTCCAGAGTCGGGGGGCTACCACAGARAAGGCCCYGTCCCTCATCCCCACCAAACACACTTGCGACGCAGGTGGGATCGTGAGCAGGGCCTCTCCAGATGATCGAAGGGATCATGTGGGTTCATATATGGAGATGCGCTCACGCAGGTAGGCGGGTCCCAAACCATTTAGGGCTTTGTAGGTGAGCACCTGAATGGTTCCTGTTGCTTTCTTCTCCTTAACCTTTCTCATTAAATAAATTGCTGTTGGCAATACTTTGACTTTTATTAGCATTTGTATTCCATTTGAAAAATTTCATATCAATGTTTCTGGTGATAAATTCTTTAAAAAAAAGTTCATCCCTATACTATGACTTTTTTTACTGTTTGGGTGAAATTGGGTTTCCTGTTCCGGCCATTCCTAGAAGGGAAGGGCTATTTCCTCATCCCTATGAACAGACCAAGTTAAGATGGTGGAATGAACACTTTTTGTGTTCATCCCTYTCAGCTCCAGCCAACCAAGAGGTCCCTTTGGGGCCGGGTAGGATTCCCCCCCCCCCACTACCACCACCATCTTTAATTGGAGGTTTTTCATCTACCCTACACTGTTGAGATTAATGGGTAATTGGCATTAGGTGGAGCCATTAAATAAGCTTTTGTGTGGAATACAGAGATACAATTTACTTCTCGGTATGCACCTAATGCACCCATTTTGGTGAAGGCCAGGAATGGGTACCCCCACCATCATAACCAAGGTGGGGGTGAACAGAAATGGCCTTGGAGCTGTTGGGGAATCCTAATCCCTGAAGTTTCTCAATTTGGCTTTTGAATACTCTAAGCAACTTTCCTAATCGGTTGCCCTGGTAGTGACTCATGGTGAGTTATTAAGGGAACCGAGATATCTCACCCAATGTCAACTGACAAGTGTGTCTGGGATGGCCACTGCCTCTGTTTACACAATAATAAGTTCAAACCCCCACTTTTAGCTGATTACAGTTCATGAAGAAAGTTTAAATAGGTAACCGTTTAATAAAAGCTGTCCCTTATTTATCCCAACACAGTTGTCTGGTCTCGTTATTTCATTGATGGGTAGGCAAATTGACTATCTTCAAAAAAAAGTGCCGCCATTAGACATTTGCTTCTTTCTTCATTTATTTCACACCTTGAGGTGTGGTCATAGGTCATTTCACACTGCCATGTTGCATAACCAGGCCTGAAAGTATGAAAACTAAAATACTTTTGATTGACTTATAGTTTCTAGTTAGCACTGCTGGGTGAAATAGTCTTCAAGATGATGATGACGATGATGATGATTTTGAAAGTCTTGCATTTCTGGTGCCTCCTAAACTCCATCTTGAAAATGTCTGGTTTTTTGTTGCTTCATTTTTAACTTTTTGATGTTGTAATCTACTATGTCCATATGAAGTTTTTTTTTCTGTCCCAAAGAAGAAAGTATGATTTCGATTTAAAATGTAATAAACATGTTTTTGTCTTTGCTTTCTCACTGAAGTTGTGAGAGTTACAAAGGGATTGTCTTCCTTGTAATTATGATATTATCACGTTGCCTGGGGTAATATTTTCTCTAGTTCCCTGGAGATTTCCCTGTAAAAAAATTAACTCAGAGAGTAGACAGGAATAAACATTGAAGATTCAGAGTTGGAGATGGTAGCAAATAAACCTAACCAGTCTGACCATTTTCATTTAAAGCATAGTAGAGGCTTAGTTTGAATACTCTGAGGGAGAGTGATTCAATAGCCCAGACCTAGATTAGATAATTTGCATTTATTTAATTAAATAGATAAATTTAATCCCAGCAAAAACTAGATTCAAATGACTTAGTCCATACTTCATCTGAACCCCCCATTATTGTAGCGGCTGTTTTCCCTACAATTATCAAAATCACCATGCTTATTTGCAATTCTTTTTACAATCTCTAGATAGCACCAGGAATCAACAGCAAAACTATGATTCAAGAGTAATTGATGGTATATATGTTTGTATCTGACTGTTTTGAGTCGAATAGAGGCAGAGAGTGTTCCAATCATTTTTTCAAAGGGAATTTCAACTTTACACACTTTATCCCAAACCATTAAGATGAATGAATGGCCAGAAAAATCCAACTCTCCTATCACAGTTTACTAAAGATGATGGCCATAGTGGTGCTGATATTAGTGCTCTTGCCTCACACAGTGTGCACCTCTCCGAATGTTATATGCAACATCAGTGGACTCCTTCCGATCCTTCACAAGTCTCATCAACCAGGAAAAATCAACATTGCTGCTATCATGTCTCAGAGTTTCATGTTTTTATCACCAAAGACCTTTAAAGAACTTCCTTCTTCTAAACTCATTGATGACATCATGTAAGTACCAGGATTTTACGAAATCATACTCAGTTCTCACCACCCAAAACCTTTGAATACTTTTCATCTCTTGATCCTTCTGACAATGTAATGTAATGGGTGGGTTTATTTTATTTTTGTCTTTTCAAAAAATTAATAAAGTGCATGTGTCTTGATAATGTTTTTTATCAGGATCGTTCATTCTGTTGATAGGTTTTACCTACATAGAATTAATTAGGCATGCTTTATGTACCATCCGATTTCCCTTCACTGGAACATGAGCATATGACATAGTAGATATTGGTAATAATTATTCAATAGTGATAAAGTTGTCAAAGGCTTTCATGACCGGAATCACTGGGTTGTTGTAGGTTTTTTGGGGCTATATGGCCATGTTCTAGAGGCATTCTCTCCTGACGTTTCGCCTGCATCTATGGCAAGCATCCTCAGAGGTAGTGATGCTTGCCATAGATACAGGCGAAATGTCAGGAGAGAATGCCTCTAGAACATGGCCATATAGCCCAAAAAAACCTACAACAACCCAGTGATAAAGTTGTTGGTTGCAAGTATATTTGCAGATCCAAACCAATTAGATGGTGATAGTTGTTGGTTGCAAGCATATTTGCAGATCCAAAACAATCGGTTAGAACCACAAACTAAATTGGGAATGAATGTTGCATTTGTTAGTTGGTTTTTTTGTTTTGTTTTGCAAACTGATAGAATTTTTCATTCAGTACTGAAAATGGTCTTTCATTCAGTACTGAATGAAAGATGCTATCAGTTTACAAAACAAACAAAAAACCTACTAACAAATGCAACATTCATTCCCAATTTAGTATGTGGTTCTAACCAATTGTTTTGGATCTGGAAATATGCTTGCAACCAAGGAATATTACCATCTAATTGGTTTGGATCTGCAAATATGCTTACGACCAACAACAATCACCATTGAATATAAGGGATCCTTTACTAGGCAATAGGGTTGTGCTTTTGGGGTAAACATTGATCCGTTTTGTGTCCTGGCTTTTGGTGGGGGCCCTGATCTATTTTTTTGGGAGCCTCCCAAAATTGGGAGGGAGGGCAGATATCTGTTTTTGCTCTGGAGTGAAGAAAGATCTGTTTTCTATCAGCCCATTATTTGGGGGGGGGGGCTTCTCAGGCTCCCCTTCCCATCATTTTAGGCATTGAAGCTGTTTTACTCTAGAGGAGAGGTGCTCAGCTGCAAGCGCATGCACGCTTTACGAAGGCTTCTTTCCTGTTTCTACTCTAGAGGAAAGGCACTCGGGTGCAGGCAGGCACGCATGCTTTCTGGGCCTGCACAGCACACACGCACAATCTCTTTCCAAAGCAAGGAGGCAAGTTCTCATTCTTACTCAAGAGGAATTCAGTTGCAGGCAGGCATCCACGCTTTCTGAGCCTGCACACCACACACACATGCACTCTCTTTCCATGGCCAGGAGGCATGGAGCGCCATGTGCTAATGAAAAGCAGCCGAGGAACCGGGATCGGCTCCTGCTTGCCTTCATGTCAAGCTGATTTTTGTACTGGGAAGGGCCTTCCCATTACTGAAATGTAATGAAAGTAACGAAAGAACAAATGAAATGAAGGTAAACGGTTCCACACACAACTCTAATAGACAATGGCCACACAGTCTGTTTTAGTGCAATACCAAATCAGATACACTATGATCTACCACAGGGGTCCTCAAACTTTTTAAACAGAGGGCCAGGTCACAATCCCTCAAACTGTTGGAGGGCCGGATTATAATTTGAAAAAAACATGAATGAATTCCTATGCACACCTCACATATCTTATTTGTAGTGCAAAAAACACTCAAAAACAGTACAATAATTAAAATGAAGAACAATTTTATCAAATATAAACTTAATATTTAAATGGGAAGTGTGGGTCTGCTTTTGGCTGATGAGATAGGATTGCTATTGTTGTGTGTTTTCAAACTTAGGTTGACCCTGAGCGAGGGCCGGGTAAATGACCTTGGAGGGCCATATCTGGCCCCCGGGCCTTAGTTTGGGGACACCTGATCTACCATATATTCTCATTGCAGTGTATTCACTCAGCTCTACCAGCACATTCTGGCCTTGGTGTTTGCTGTGAAAGAAGTAAATGAAAACCCTTATATCTTATCCAACACCACTCTGGGCTTTTCAATATATGATGGCCACTTCAGTGCAAAATCAGCCTATCGTGCCTCAATGGATCTTGTCTCGACACAGAAAAGATTTCTTCCTAACTACAAGTGTGAAACCCACAACAACACAGTATCAGTTATTGGAGGACCAGATTCTAATTCATATGTCCGTATGGCACCTATCCTGGCTCTTTACAAGATTCCACAGGTAAGTACAGGTGTAGTTTTATAGTCTGTTTAATAGTCTCAAAACTAAATTCATGGGTAAAGATCTGTAAGTAAATCAGATCCTTTAGTGGGTAGTCAGCCTCTCCCCTCCTGACATCCCTATTGCCTTGGGACTACAAGAGGGTTTCGCAGCATCAGTTGCTCTCATTGCAACGGTATGGTAACAGTGAGGCTGCGGACCATATTTTACTTCTTGGGGACCACTGGTAGTCCACGGACCACAGGTTGAGAACCAATGGTCTAGAAAGAGGGTAATGAGGAAGGAACAAAGCTATGAGATTCTTAATTAACTGCCATGGCAAGTAAACATCATGGGGAAGAAAGCTCACCATAGTTGTGATTGCACATGCTCAATTTTCAAGTTCTTATGCTTTGTATGTTACAGTGGTGGTGGGGGCTGTTTGTTTGTTTGTTTTTGGTGGCCTTTGTTTGGGTCTGCTTTACACTATTCCATCAGAAGTTTCTGGCACTCCTCCTTGGATTTAGCATAGTGTGAACACTGATTGTTTTGGTCTTTGTGCCAGTAGGATTGAGTTTCAGTGACTTCATCCTAGGTCTATAGTTTTAGATTTTTTTCCCCCCTAATACTCTTGTGGAATTAATGGAGATGAAGCATGGAAGGACATGGTTGTTATTGCTCTGAGGAACCACATTTTATAACAGTAAGGGTATTGTGCAGGCATTGGCAAACTTTGGCCCTCCAGGTGTTTTGGACTTCAACTCCCACGATTCCTAACAGCTGTTAGGGATTGTCGGAGTTGAAGTCCAAAACACCTGGAGGGCTGAAGTTTGTCCATGCCTGGTATAGTAGCACAATTTATGCAGAGAAGGTGTGTCATTACCTTCCTCTTAGGCTGAGAATGTGTGAATTGCCCAAAATCACCCAATGTGATCTCATGGTTCTTCCAGAAACATAGTCCAACACTCCAACCATTATAATACCTTATTCTGGTCTCTCCCAGGGAAAGCAACAAGACACGATCACAGGAGGTCTCTTGTTTATTAAAACAATTTATTTCTTCAGATTACGTATGGCTCTGTTCCTGTGATGGATGACAGCATCGAAGGAGTTTTCATCTACCATATGTTTCCAAATGGGGACTACCAACATACGGGGATTCTTCGGTTACTTCAACACTTCCACTGGATATGGATTGGAGTGATTTATTTTGAGGATGAGACAGGGGACTGGTTTGTACAAAATGTGCTTCCAGTCTTTTCGGAGAATGGCATTTGCATTGCCTTCAAACAAAAATTCCCCAAGCAAGATTTTTCAGATAAAATTGAGCAAATTGTGGATGAAGGGATGAAAACATTCAAAATGCTCATGGACAGCACTGCTAAAGTGTTCATAATACACGGTCAGATCATTGCTCTACTAATTGTTGATATACTGATAAACTTTTCAAGATATGAACCTGTGCTGATAGAACCAAAAGGGAAAGTCTTGCTTTTGACTGCCCAGGTGGATTTCACAAAACATCCTGTCCTAAGGTCTGGAGACATCAGTTTCCTCCATGGCTCTATATCCCTTGCAATTCATTCAAAAGAACTATCAAGCTTCCAGAAATTTCTTCAGACCCAAAACCCAATTGCAAAACAAGATCCCTTTTGCAGAAATTTCTGGGAAAATGCATTTTTGTGTTCCTTCCCTAATTACACCGCACACTGGAATTTTGAGAAGACATGCACAGGGGAGGAGAAACTGAAGTCTCTTCCTTCTTCTGTTTTTGAAATGAGCATGACTGGTCACAGCTATAGTGTCTACAATGCTGTCTTTGCTGTGGCCCATGCATTGCAGTTTATGGAATCCTCCCAGTTCAGAACAAGAGTAATGGGGAAAGGACAAATCCATGAGATTGTTAATTGGCAACCATGGCAGGTAAAACTGAATGAGAAGGAATATCACCATAGTTGTGATTGCAACTGTTCAAGATCCACATTTTTATATTTTGCTTTGTGTGTGTGTGTGATTGTGTGTGTGTGTGTGTGTTTGTGGGGTTTTTTTTGCTTCTGATTAGGTCTGTTGTCATCTCCATTTCACCAGAATTTCCTGTGCTCCTTCTCACATTTAGGACAATGTGAACTTTGATTACCTGGTCTCTTTGAACCTAAACTTGGGTGACTTCATCCTTAATCTGTTATGGTTTCAGATTTGTTATAGTACTCTTCTGAAACTACAGGCAGTCCCTGAGTTACTAACCTCTGATTTAACTCATAGTTGAGGGTGAAACATCAGGGAGTGAGAGAAATCTACCCCTAAGAAGTGAACCTCACTCCTGGAAAAGTTATCACGAGGAAAAGGTGTCTCCATACAATGAAGATTTATCATCAATATTTGTTTCTACAACAAGCCAAATTTCAAAATCCAAATATCACATGGACAGAAAGTGAAGTGAAATCTTCTGAGTAGTGGCATGGTAGTAAAACAAACACCACAGGGGTGTTAATTCTTCCCTTTTCTATGCAAAGCATGGATATAGAAATAGATATCAATATAGGTATAAGTATAGGTATAGTTATAGATATGGATTAGATAGATATAGATATGGATACAGATATAGATATATTTGGAGTTACACTTAAAATGTACCTGTTCCGACTTACAAATTCAACAAGAACAAACTTACGAAACTTATCTTGTTCGTAACTTGTGGACTGCCTGTACTGCGGTTTCATATCACTTTAACTGCCATGGCTCAGTGCTATGGAATCCAGGAAACTAGTTTGGTAAGACATCAGTGTGTTCTGGAAGAATAGGCTGCAGCTGAGCGAAGGAAGAGAGACACTTTTGAACTGTGATGTTGGAGGAAAATTCTGAGAGTGCCTTGGACCACGAGAAGATCCAACTAGTCCATACTCCAGGAAATAAAGCCCGGCTGCTCATTGGAGGGAAGGATATTAGGGGCAAAGATGAAGCGCTTTGGCCACATCATGAGAAGACAGGAAAGCTTGGAGAAGACAATGATGCTGGGGAAAATGGAAGGAAAAAAGAAGAGGGGCCAACCAAGGGCAAGATGGATGGATGGGATCCTTTAGGTGACTGGCTTGACATTGAAGGAACTGGGGGTGGCCGTAGCCAACAGAGAGCTCTGGCATGGGCTGGTCCATGAGGTTACGAAGAGTTGGAAGTGACAGAATGAATAAATAGTAACAACAAAGGCTAGAGACCTTATAAACTAAAACTTCCATGATTCCATAGGATAGAAATGCGGCAGTTAAAGTGGTATCAAACTGCATTAATTCTACAGTGTAGGTGCATCTTGGGACTGCCTCTTCCCCTTGTTATAGGCTTTTCTTTTCCTTTTTCTTGATGAGGTGATTAGCAAATGTGCAGAACACAGTGGCAGTTTCAGAAGAGCTTAGATATCTAGACAATTTCTGAGCAGGTACCTAATACTATGGACTCACACCATGTACAAATAAAATGAAAATTTTATTTTAGATTTCTTCCCTTGAAAAATTGAACTAGCAAAAGGAGATTGTTAACCACAACTTGCTGGTATGAAACATTATCAGTGTTCATTTTCATTCTTCACTTTTTAGCTCCACCATTTCCTGAGATATGTGTCATTTAACAACAGTGCTGGTGACAAGATATCCTTTGACCAAAATGGTACCTTAGTAACTGGGTTTGATATTATCAACTGGATTACCTTCCCAAACAAGTCTTTCATGAGAATTAGAGTTGGAACAATTAACCCTCATGCTCCACATGGCAATGGGTTCACCATCTCTGAGAATGACATCATATGGCCTACCTACTTTAACCAAGTAAGGATCCATAAACATGTTCAAATCCAGACTTATCTCTAAAGGTAAAGTTGTGGATTACTGTCCAGATTCTGAACTAATTCATCCCCTGTGCCATATCATGCAGGTGATTATAGCAGAGAGGAAGCTCAAACTAAACCTTTGTCTGGCAAAATCTTACCACTTGACCAATCAAAAAGCTAAGTCAATGGTCAAAGGAACACCAATTATAAATAAAATATGCCAAGGAAATGGCAAATCCAAGAACAGTAGCAGAAAATAATTGTATACTTCACAGAAAAACAAGAGGAGAGGCGGGACATCAGTCACTCAAAGAGATGGTGTCAAAGGGGTATATTTTATTCCATGGTATACGTATCATTTGGCCAACAGACTCCTTTATGAAGGTGGAAGTTCAGTCATTTGTGTAAATACTACGTATGCCCCAAATATATCCATGGATTTATAATAAAATAATTTGACATGAAAACTATTAAAACTAAAACAAATCCCCCAAATTCACTATGTAATCCAGCAAAGCTGACTCTTAGGACCCAGACAGACAGACCCAAAATTTGGGATCTGTCTTGGTTTTACTGGGGGCATCCAGATGGTGCTTCTGGTAAAACCTAATTAATTAAACATCAGGTAAGGTCCAGATCTAAAGGTAAGATCTGGGTCTTTCCAGGTGTGGACCCTGTGTGGATTTGGTCCGGGGACTGTGTCATGTGATTCCCAGGCCCAATCCACAAAACCATCTCAGTTTCTTGGGCTCCAGGACTCCGAAAAATCAAGAGGACACCCACCCCTCCCTCCAAATCCCAAAAAACCCCTAAAATAAAGTTAAACTTACCTGGCTGCAATAACATTCTTTCTCACACCAGGACTTTATTTTTAGAGGTACATTTGGGGGACTTTGGGGTGGCTGATTGAAATCAGGATGAGATGTAGCCACCCCCTCCCCCAGGAAAGCCTGGGTTTTGGAGGGCTTGTGGGACACAGATGCACACCGAAGAGGGTCCTAAAAACTTGCTTTGCCACAGATTTTTGTTCTGTCTGGAAGCATCACCTGTCTTTTGGTAAATAGATATTTGGCGTTGGGGTTAACCCAGATATACCTTGGAAGTAGGGGGAAGAGGTGGGGTGAGGTGTGTCATGCTAATGCATGAAATTTACCTCTGTTGGTCCATATAGCCCATCATATTAAAAAGTGCAATGTGATAGCAAATCCGCCATACAATTATGAGCCAAGCCCTTAAGTGTGGGTCAAATCACATTACAAAAAAATGGAAAACCTATTTACTGAGTGTTAAAATATTGTGGGTTTTTAATGTACAGGTACATCCTCTTTCCATTTGTAATGATAATTGCCATGTTGGCTACCACAAGAGAAAGAAGGAAGGAGAGCCTTTTTGCTGTTACGATTGTATTCCCTGTCCTGCAGGCATGATTTCAAATGAGACAGGTAAGAAGTGTTATGTTTTCAAATGCTCTAACAGTGATCTAACAATGGTTGTCATTGCTGAAAAGAAGAGGCAGTTGGATACAATCATTTATGCATGCATATGATAGCGTAGTATGTATACTCAACAGAGCTGAGTAAAAATTTGAACGCTTAAAGTGATAAATGTGTCCTACAAATGTAGCAAGTGTCATCCTGATAGCTGTAAAAATGACAGAGAAACAAGCCCTGGAAATGTATTGTCGAAGGCTTTCATGGCCGGAATCACTGGGTTGTTGTAGGTTTTTTTCGGGCTATATGGCCATGGTCTAGAGGCATTCTCTCCTGATGTTTCGCCTGCATCTATGGCAAGCATCCTCAGAGGTAGTGAGGTCTATTGGAACTAGGAAAAAGGGTTTATATATCTGTGGAATGACCAGGGTGAGACAAAGGGCTCTTGTCTTCTGGAGCTAGGTGTGAATGTTTCGACTGACCACCTTGATTAGCATATAAAGGCCCGACATTGCCTAGAGCAAACTTTTGTTGAGAGGTGATTAGATGTCCTTGTTTGTTTCCTCTCTGTTGTTGTGCTGTTGTGATTTTAGAGTTTTTTAATACTGGTAGGCAGATTTTGTTCATTTTCATGAACAATTGCCACTTTCAGATTTTGGCAAATTTCCTTGATTTTGTGTTATTCAATTCACTGCACATTCACTGAAATGGGTTATATTTACATTCCATCTGTCATTTCTTCTTTTCAGACATGGATACATGTTTTGAATGCCCAGAAGGACAATACCCAAGCAATGATCAGCACGAATGCATTCCAAAATACATTATCTTCTTGTCTTACAACAGACCTTTGGGAGTCAGTTTAACCATCATTTCCCTCACCTTTATTTTTATCACAGCTTTGGTGCTTGGGATCTTCTTTAAGTACCGGGATACTGCAATAGTCAAAGCTAACAACCGTAGTCTGTCGTATGTTCTACTCATTTCTCTCCTCCTCTCATTCAGTTGTGCTTTCTTGTTCATTGGTGAGCCTAACCATCTCATATGTTTACTTAGAGATATTGCTTTTAATGTCATCTTTTCAGTAGCTCTATCATGTGTGTTGGCCAAAACAATCACAGTGATTCTAGTTTTCAAGGCCACCACATCAGGGTCCAAAACGAAGAAATGGATGGGCAAGCCACTGGTCAATTCTATTGTGTTTTCCTGTCCCTTGATTAAAACCATTATTTGTATAGTGTGCCTGATCATTTCTCCCCCATTCTTAGACTTTGATATGCAGTTAATGGCCAAAGGAATTCTCCTGGATTGTGATCACGATTCAGCTCTAGTGTTCTATAGTTCCGTCAGCACTTTTGGTCTGTTGGCTATTGCAAGTTTCAGTGTGGCTTTCCTTGCCAGGAAGCTTCCTGACATTTTTAATGAAGCCAAGTTTATCACCTTCAGCATGGTGGCATTTTGTAGTGTATGGGTCACCTTTATTCCAGCCTACCTGAGTACAAAGGGAATATATCTGATAACTGTGGAGATCTTCTGCATCCTAGCATCAGGTGCAGCATTGCTCATTTTTATATTTTCTCCTAAAATTTATATCATATTGCTAAAGCCTGAGCTAAACAACAAAAAGCACTTAATAAGGACAAAAACTTGAAATGCTTAAATCCCCAAGTAATCATGAGTGTATTGTATAGTTAACTAAATTTCTTCCTAGTTTTCAATAAGGCTCAAAGGCTCTTATATGTATACATCTCTCAATGACTTCTGTAAGTCATTCTCTGAGATAGCTGTCGATCCCTGTGGTTTATTTATATTTAGTTATTTCCTACCCTATGTACAAAGATTCATGATACCTAACAAGAAAGTCAGTTTAAACAGATGCGGGGGGGGGGGGGGGGGGGGGGTTAGTCAAGATTTTTAGTATTTTGAACATCATCAACAATTTAAATTCAAACTGGAAACACTTCCCGTGTTCTTCAAACAGGAACGTTTTGGTACTCTGCCTGAAATAGGTGAAGGTAATCTGATTTCTCCAAAAATCCACACTTAATTTTTTTCCAGTGGGAGTACTGAGTTAATATTGTTGCAGGTGATAGGAGAGATAATACCAAGAGTGATTCTTTGTTTGTGGAAGACCCTGGCATGGAATCTCCTCCAAAAGCAAACCAGAGTGAGGATAAAGTCATTGATTTTCCCTTTTATACATCTTCAAATGCAGGCAAACAAAGAAACATGCTTCTACATATGTTAACGTCACCTTAAGCATCAAAGAAATATTGAATTATATCTTACTACATGCATTAGGCATATCTCCATATTTTTTTATTTTTTTAAAAAATTAAGATTTTATTTACATACAGTAACAACTTACAGTGTAAACAAAACACAAAACAGTGAACATTTTACAAACACATAGCCCCACCACCAAGGCTTGAACAGGTATCCTTTCCTTCACCATGTATTTGTAAATCAACCATTAATCAGATGTCATATCCAAAATTTCAGATCAACAGGGTTATATTGTTTTCCCTTTTCACTCTCTAAAGCATATTTAATAAAGACAGACCAGTATGCCTCAAAATCCGATCTATTAATTTCCTCCCTGAATACCCTCATTTCCATTGTTAGTTTATCATTTAAGGCTACGTTCCATACCTCCCTATACCATGCTTCCGGTGTTAGATTAGTTATTATTTTCCAGTTCCTTGCTATTATGATTCTTCCCACTGTGAGCAAAATAATCACCAATTCTTTCTGACTCGTTTCTAGATTCAACATCGTGGTGTCCATTAATAATGCTAACCTAGCATCCAGAGTAATATTTGATCCTATAATGTTGTTTATTTTGATAAATATATCCTTCCAAAATCTCTTCACTTGGGGGCATTCCTGCCATAAATGAAAATATGTCCCTTTGTGTTTACCACATCTCCAGCAGAGGTTACTTTGCTTGCTATACATCTGATGTTGTTTGACTGGTGTGGTATACCATCTCCATATAACTTTGTATACATTTTATTTTAATCTTATTGATAGGTTCCTAACCACTCTCCACTTTAGGACCCTTTTCCAATCAAAATCTGTCAGAGGCCCTAGGTCTCCTTCCCATACCTTTTCTAACAGCTTTAGCCCTATTTCTTCGCCAATTAATCCATTATATATTTTCCCAATTAATCCTTTCCCCATTATTTCTTGGTTTTTAAGCTTACTTAGCCATTCCTCATATTTATTCAGTGCTCTACATCTGGGATTTTTACTTAACCAGTCCTTCTTCCAATTATATAACTATTGTCTCTCGAACCAATTCAGGGCACCTTGTTCTTCTAACTTATTAAAATTGCCCCTCGAGTTTTGTATCCATTCCTTCCATATTTTTTCTAAAGAGCAGCTTGCAGCAAGAGAGATACTAGGATTCAGCTTACACAGATCCATCAAGGGGCCTACTTTTGACCTGTCAGGAGGGAGGGAGAAAGACTCCTTACTTTTAGAAGTAATAAGGTATGGCCTGTACTAAGCTGTGCCAAACCTCTAGAATTACAGATAACAGCCCCCCCTGCTTCTCCTTCCCCTTTCAACACAGATCTCCTTCAGCATCCTTTTGTCCTGTCAGCTTGGCTTCCTAATACAGACAGAATCTGATTTTTCTACATTTCAGTGCTTCTAATGTGCATACAACATATGTATAGATATCTATATTTCCAATATGTCCACATCAATACTGCAATAATTCTCACATAGCTCCAAATCTGAGAAGGCTTTATTCAAGAGAAGGTTCGTGAGTCTTCAAATTATCGAGCACATCTGCATGACAGGCAGCACATCTACAGTGACTACTTAATGCGGTTTGAAGGTTTAAATGGGTCTACTCCAGTAATACTAAATCTAAATTCTTCTATATGATTCTTTATGTCTTTGTTTACTTGCTTGTTTGTTTGTATTCATAAGCTGCCTTTTCCAGAGTGGGACCCTAGGCAGCTTAAAAAACAATGTTAAAAAATGTTTTAAAAAACACATATTGCTCGATATAAAACAATTAAAATCATATAGTATGTGAAACATGCTGTTACCTGGAATAACTGTCATTCTAAGAAATGATTACCACCTCAGCAATTTTCAAATTAGGATCATGTTGATTTCTTCCCAAAGTCCCTAAGGAATTCTATATGCCACTAGCAGAACTGAAAAATAAGCTTTGAAATTGCTACTAATATCCCCTACGCCTGCAGAATTCATAGTCTAGACAGAGTTCTGTCAACACCATTTCCTCTTCTTTTCAACCAAGTAAATATCCATGTTCAACAGACTGTGTTGCAGAACTGAATGGCTGAACCACAAAAGATGGATTGTTTCTCTGAGCGCTTATTTTCTGCAAAGCTGGTGGTGTTTATGACGTTGGTTTTGGTGTTGCTCCCAGTGGGCGCATGCAAGATTCTTCCTGTTCCTAAATGTGCCGTCAGCAAGCACCTGCCTATTCTTTATGACTATTATCATTCAGGAGATCTGATCATTCCTGGAGTCCTTTCTCAGCTCCACATCACTTATGAAGAGAGAAATTTCAGGAAAGAGCCCAATCAGCTGTCCATTGAGGAAGTATCGTAAGCATTGAATGTTTAGACCATATGATTTGTCAATTTCCCCTTCGCAGTTTCCTTGAAAGCATCTGTCTTGTTTTATAAATAATCTTTCTGGTTTATAAAGACATGCTTTTGAGTCATTAAGTGACAATCATTTGGTGACAATTTTGAACACTGATCATAGTGAATGTATTACATGTATTAGCTGCCACGTGCCAACCAGATTATCTATGTTGGGTGTTTGTACTTTGCTTCTATGACTACTAAAAATTGCAATTTCCCCATATTCACCACTCCAGGATGTATATAATTATGGAGTTATGAGTGAGTTGGAGCTCACTAATAGTATACACAATACAATTGGTTAAGTCTTTGAAAAATCACAAATATCTCTTCCCTAAACTATGGCTTTACAATATGTCATAATGCAATGTTTTATCAAGCAAATAATAGGTAAAATATATTTTCCCCTGACAGTAAGTCCAGTTGTGTCCAACTCTGGGGGTTGGTGGTCATCTCCATTTCTAAGCTGAAGAGTTGGCATTATCCGTAGACACCTCCAAGGTCATGTGGCCAGCATGACTGCATGGAGCACTATTACCTTCCCGCTGGAGTGGTACCTGTTGATCTACTCACATTTGCATGTTTTCGAACTGCTAGGTGGGCAGAAGCTGGGGCTAACAGTGGAAACTCACACTGCTCCCCATATTCAAACCGGCTACCTATCGGTCAGCAATTTCAGTAGCTCAGTGTTTTAACCCACTGCGCCACCGGGGTAATAATCTGACATGTAATTGTTTTATGTAAAGCAGATGTTTTGATGTGTGGCATATAATTCTCATTACAGAGAAATGACACAATTTTACCAGCACATCCTGGCCTTGGTGTTTGCTGTAAAGGAGATAAACGAGAATCCCCAGATCTTGCCAAATGTCACTGTGGGCTTCCATGTCTATAATAACAATTTTTATCCAAGTTGGACCTATCTGGCCACAATGAAACTTCTCTCCACTTGGGACAGATTTGTCCCAAACTACAAATGTGATGAGCAAAAGAGCTTGCCAGCAGTCATTGGGGGACCAAACTCTAACATTTGCTCCCACATGGCAGACATCCTGGGCATCTACAAAATTGCTCAGGTAAGCGGGCCCCCTTAGAACATGGATAGTAGAAGGAATTGTGGAGAAATTTAGCCATGCCTCCCTCTCCAAGCCACCTTCCCTGAGACTGAGTGTGCCTCCCCTATAGTAATATAGTGTGAGGATAGGGTCCATGTTATTTCAAGGACTATATTTTCCTTTATGAGTCTACAAGCTTGAGTGCCCGGCGGTGCCTGGGTTATTTGAAAAAGGCATGGTTTGTTTTGGGGTGTTAGATAATATCATTTAGTTAATTAGAGACACTATTTATTAGAAAAATGCCAGTTTTAGATTTTGTTTTTTATGAATGCTCCAATTAGAAAATGCATAAGGATGTGGGTGAAGTGCATTTCCCAGAATCGTGGGTCAATCCTCCTCAAACCAGGCCTGTATGCACAGTTGGCCATGTTGGGGGTGTGTGCCAAGTTTGGTCCAGATCTGTCTTCAGGTGGGTTCAGTGCTCTCTGGATAAGTGTGAACTACAACTCCCATATGCTAAAGGTAGTCCAGGTCCATTATTGATGCAGGGTGTACTACAACTTCCATCTTGTTTGAGTTCCGCAAATCCCTCCAGTCTGTTCAGTTGCTGATCAATTCTTCTATGTTTGCTATGTGCCCTTGATAGGGAGATACTGGAAATATAGATATATTTATACATATATTGTATGTCCTTTAGGACCACTGAAATGTCAGGAAAAAATCAGGTTCTCTCTGTATTAGAAAGCCAAGCTGATAGGACAGAGGGAAGCTGAAGTATTTGTGTCCAAGGCAAGAGGCGGGTGAACATTCCAGGAGGGGGGAGATAAGGAAGGCCTGGCACAAATAGAGGTAAAAGTAAAGAGTAAGGTTTAGGAAAAAATATATAGAGACATGCCTCTTGCATGTTGGAAAGTAACATTTGATATTTCTATGATGACATAGTGATGATGTTAACATACGCAGAAGTATGTTTCTTTATATGCCTACATTTGAAGATGTATAAAAGGCAAAGTTAACACTTTTATCCTCGCTCTGGTTCGCTTTTGGATGAGAGTCCCACCAGAGTCTCAGCTGAAAATAAAAACGTATTTTTTCAAGGATTGCTCTTGGTGTTATCTCTCCTATCTGCTGCTACACCATAGGAAAGGGTAGGAAAGGGTTAATGGAGAGGCAGTGGATGGAGTCATGCAAATTCCACACAAGGAACCCTGGGATGCCTGCCTGTGGTGGAGGAAACACATCAAATCTAGGATGAAATTCTCCCTGAATGAAAGCATTCCTCGGGTAGTGGGCCATAGTGTTTGGGGAGGACGTAGGCAGGGTTTGGGCTACATTTTCATGGCACTTGCTATAACCTGCAATGTCAGTCGAGGGAGTACCTTTGGAGGCTTCTCAGCACTTGGAACTATAGGTTGTTTGTGGAGGCCGGAGGCTATCTGTGTAAGTGGATACCTCCACCACATACACACACACATTTTTTCACTTTTATTATATTATGCGTATGTGTATGTGTATGTGTATGTATAACTAGATAGCTAGATTAGAGCTCTAGACTCTTCAGGGGACGTCCACTATCTCAGACTTGTGTAACAGAACCAAGGAAGAGGGCCTCCTCAGTGAATGCTCCCAGACTTTGAAACTCCCTCCTTAAAAAGATCATCAAGTTAAAACATTTTTATGCCATCAGAGTTTTACAAACTGATGAGAGGGGAGGGAATTAATACTGTGTGTGCATGTGAGTGCTTACATGCACACACACCTATATGTTGATATATCTGAAACCTTTCATTTTATTTTTCTTTGGCTTTTTTCCAGCTCATATATAGCTCTGCACCAGAAGAAAATGACAAAAATAACGCTGCCTTCTTCCACTGGATGTTCCCAAATGGGAATAAGCAATACTTGGGGCTTCTCCAGTTGTTGCTGCATTTTAGGTGGACATGGATTGGAGTGATCTATGAAAATGTTGAGAGTTTGCAGACATTTGTGCTAAAACTTCTTCCATTGTTTTCCCAGAATGGTGTCTGCTTTGACATCATTGAGAAATTACCAGACTGGAGTTTAACCAATGATGCCACTGAGATGATAACTAATTGGGTTGTGATCTTTAAACTTGTCTTCGACAGTACAGCCAGTGTCATGATCTTTCATGGTGAGCTTCAAAGCATGGCCAAGTTGAGAACTGTAGAAAACTTTTTAAAATTTGAAGGCATACCCCTTCAAGACAAAGGAAAACTTTGGATTATGACAGGGGACACCGATTTCACATCATCTCTCTTTCATAGATCAATGGGCATACAGTTCCTCCATGGTGCTCTATCGTTTATTACTCATTCAGAGGAGGTGTTAGGATTCAGGCAGTTTCTGCAGACAAGAAACCATACATCAGAAAAAGGAGATGGGTTTGTTAGGCCTTTCTGGGAAGAGGCATTCAATTGCTTGTTCTCTGGCCCTGCCATAGATGAGCTATATGAGAACATCTGCACTGGAGATGAGAAACTGGCAACTCTTCCAAGCTCTGTTTTTGAAATGAGCATGACTAGCCACAGCTATGCCATTTATAATGCTGTCTATGCCCTGACACATGCTTTCCATGCCATGCATTCATCCCCATCAAATAGGAGAACAGCGATGACTGGAAGGAGAGAGAGTATGTTAACACAGCAGTCATGGCAGGTAATGTCTTTAAGCAGAAGATACAACCATTAATGCAACAGTGATTCTGTCTCCCAAAACTGGGATTTTTTTTCAACTGTGGCTACTAGGGGTGTGAATAATTTCATTTTTAATTCGTATTTTGGATCAAATTTGTTAAATCTGTGCATACAAATAGATATTAGAAACATGCAGGAAAGGTGGGGGGATTTAGAATTTTTTGTTAAGATTCTGTAATAATAATAATAATAATAATAATAATAATAATAATAATAATAATCTTTATTTATACCCTGCCACCATCTCCCCAAAGGGGACTCGGGGCGGTTTACATGAGGCCAAGCCCAGTAATACATTACAGCAAAATAGATACAGAATGACAAAAATATCATCACAATAAAATAAGTGAAAACATCAAAGTACAATAAAACAGTGCAAAATAACAAAATGAAAACTCAAACACAATGGGCGGGCCAAACGTACGACATAAAATGATAAAACTATGGATGAGATAAAAACAAAAAAGGTATCTTTGTAAGGGAGGAGCTCGTAGGGGATGGAATAGTGGAGACAGACCATCAGAAAGATGGAGGGAAGTGCAATATGAGGACAACATCATGGGAGGAACAACAAGAAAGAAGTATATGGTCATTCTCCAAAGGCACAATGAAAGAGCCAAATTTTTAAATCCTAATTGAAGGCTGTAACATTCGGATGCCTCTCAAGGTCAGTTTAATTTTCAGTATAACCATTAAACAACTTTGGTAAAGCCAAGAGAACATAAAGTATGTGAAAAACCAATCATTTTTCTTTGGCCCAATCACCATAAGGAAGGCCCTGGGGGCGGAACTACAGTTAATGAGTGGGAGACTAAGAACACAGCCATCTTAAATGTAGTTTGGGAAGGTGATGTCCCCTGTGACAGTGTGCTGCCACAGCTGTGCCAGGAGATTTGAATTTCTTTTTCTTGCACTGCTAGTTTGCATGAATTTATTTAGCCATGCATTTTGCAATAAGGTAGCTTCCCTCAGGTTGCAATCATAGGTCCAGCAACCTGGCAATCATCATTAGAGTCTTTAGGCCCGCCCCTTTCCCCAGGGTTTTGGAGGGAAAGGAGGACCTTTATTCAGTCTCACTGTTGGAAGCCTAAAGCTTTGCTGGGGAAAAAGGGAAAGGTTCCACAGCTTTTCCAGGGGGTTAAAGAAATAGCTCCACAACTCTTCTGGGGAGTAAAGAAATAGTCCCTACAGCCTTCATGGAGAAACTAAAGGACACCATTCAGCTTGGCAGATCTACAGAAACCTTGCCTAGTAAGGGCTACTCAGGCTATCCATAAAGCACCTTGGAGCCGGGAGTAGCGGCCTCACGCCAGCAAGGTAAAGAGAGATTGCCCAGGGAGGGGGTCAAAGGATTTCCCTAAGGAAGAAAGGAACAGTTTACCACCAGTTGCCTGCCCCCTTGTTGGCAGATTGAGTAAGCTACCGGTTTTCCAAAGTTATAAAGTGTTTAATTCATTTGTTTGAAGATTTAAGCCCAAATAAAGAACTTTGTTGAACATATCTTGAGCCTCAATAGAACTTTGTATTGGAAAATCTAAAGGGCCCTTCAGCTGAGGCACCCCGGCGTCCCATTGGGCATACAGAGAGCACGTCCTGTAACCAGACATTATTACAGGCCCAGCATGCGACAGCACAGACAGAGAGTACAAAAGGCCCTGCCCTATACTACATTTCCTGGGATGCAATGCTTAGCATCAGGTTGCAGCAGCCAGCTATTTAGAGTCAGTCTAATAATAATATACAAAATTATTGAATCTGCAAAGTGGACTGAAGTAAGTAATTAATAGTATAAATCTGTGCTAAGTTGAAGTCATGTGGTTGCATGCCATAGAGACAGACATTCAAGGGAATTGCTGCTTTCGCATTTTGGGGAAATAAATTGTTTTTGTCTAAACTTTTTAAAATCTCAAAAAATCTGTAAATAGGTTAATCTTTCTGAAACTTCTGGAGATTGATTCCCTAGTTTTCTTGTGCGTTGTAGATAAAATTCAAGTACATAGGTCTTGTAGGGGGGTTTTTTGGGGGGGGGGAAGGTTGTTTTTAAAAACTTTGACAATTCCCCAAAAATCTTTGGATAAGTGAAATGTTCTGAAATTTGGTGTGCTAACAATGATAAATGTGTTCTACCATTGTAGCAAGTTTCACTCCAATAGCTGTTAAAATGAGGGGTAAAGGAACCCCTAAAGTTTCCCCAATTATAGTAATTTAATTGTGCGCATATATACAATTACTGGAATGACATAATAATGAAATTTCGTTACTCTCATTATAGTAACAAATTTTTCACAAACTATACTTTAGAAACACTTTAGAAAAAAAGCACCAGCTTGAAATGACTTTTGAACCATTTTTTAAATGTATCGTACATCCTTTGTGACTACCATCATCCCTGACCAATGTTCATACTAAAGAACCTTGTAGCACCTTTCAGACCTGGAGATGTAATAAGAATATCATTCTTAACACAACTAATGGGAATTTGTTATCGTTTTCCCCAAAAGCTGAGAGAGTGTGAGTTGTGAAATGTCTCCCCATAGACTTCTGTGGTAGAGCATCAGTTCAAAGTCTGGTCTCCCAGAGTTCTAGTTCAACACTGAATATATGCTGTGTTTCCCCATTTAGATCCCTCACTACCTGAGAAGTCTGTCATTCAACAATAGTGTTGGGGAGGTTTCCTTTGACCAAAATGGAGAAGTCGTTGGTGGGTACGATATTGTCAACTGGGTCACATTCCCAAATATGTCTTTCCTTCGTGTTAAAGTTGGGAGTGTAACTTCACAGGCTTCCACAGACATATTGCTTACCATCGATGAAGATGCCATTGAATGGCCCAGCAGGTTTAACCAGGCAAGGTTTATATACAGGTTCACAGTGTGTGTTTGTGTTTAAAAGATCTTATTATTTGAATGCTCAATAATTCTGTCTTTTGGAATGTGTTACAAATTCATTGCAATCATTTATACAAATATTAACAAATGGCTTCATATTCAGGTTGGAAAAAAATGTTGTTTTTTTTAAACAACCCTATAGCTAAAAGTAAAGGTTTCCCCTTGACATTAAGTTTGGTTGTGTCTGGGGGTTGGTGCTCATCTCCATTTCTAAGCCAAAGAGCCAGCATTGTCCATAGACACTTCATGGAATCATAGAATCAAAGAGTGTTGGAAGAGACCTCATGGGCCATCCAGTCCAACCCCCTGCCAAGAAGCAGGAATATTGCATTCAAATCACCCCTGACAGATGGCCATCCAGCCTCTGTTTAAAAGCTTCCAAAGCCTCCACCACACTCCGGGGCAGAGAGTTCCACTGCTGAACAGCTCTCACAGTCAGGAAGTTCTTCCTCATGTTCAGATGGAATCTCCTTTCTTGTAGTTTGAAGCCATTGTTTCGCATCCTAGTCTCCAGGGAAGCAGAAAACAAGCTTGCTCCCTCCTCCCTGTGGCTTCCTCTCACATATTTATACATGGCTATCATGTCTCCTCTCAGCCTTCTCTTCTTCGGGCTAAACATGCCCAGCTCCTTAAACTGCTCCTCATAGGGCTTGTTCTCCAGACCCTTGATCATTTTAGTTGCCCTCCTCTGGACACATTCCAGCTTGTCAATATCTCTCTTGAATTGTGGTGCCCAGAATTGGACACAATATTCCAGGTGTGGTCTAACCAAAGCGGAATAGAGGGGTAGCATTACCTCCCTAGATCTAGACACTATGCTCCTATTGATGCAGGCCAAAATCCCATTGGCTTTTTTGCCGCCACATCACATTGTTGGCTCATGTTTAACTTGTTGTCCACGAGGACTCCAAGATCTTTTTCACACGTACTGCTCTCGAGCCAGGCATCGTCCCCCATTCTGTATCTTTGCATTTCCTTTTTTCTGCCTAAGTGGAGTATCTTGCATTTGTCCCTGTTGAACTTCATTGTGGCCAGGCATGACTGCATGGAGTGCTGTTACCTTCCTGCAGAAGTGGTACCTATTGATCTACTCACATTTGCATGTTTTCGAACTGCTAGGTTGGCAGAAGCGGGGGCTAATAGTGGCAGCTCACCCTGCTCCCTGGATTCGAAACGCCAACCTTTCAGTCAGCAAGTTCAGTAGCTCAGCAGTTTAACCCACTGCGATTCGAAACACCAACTTTTCAGTCAGCAAGTTCAGTAGCTCAGCAGTTTAACCCGCTGCGCTACCAAGGACTCCTAAAAACTGCTATACTTTTCAAAAATCCCAAATGTTGTTCAGAATGGACCTCTCCATACCAAGGGGGATAAGAATCGTTAGGATAAAAACCAATAATCTGCCTAAAAACACCCTAAAAACGAGTGATTTGTCGGCTTTGAGAAAGGTTCAGGAGTTGCATGTGAGGGTCTGAAGGAAATATTTGCATAGTTTCCTCCATTTTGCTCCACTCACAATGAAGGTTTGCATGCAACCATTGCTGGAATTTACCCACTTCTCGTTTAAAGGGAGACAAGTGAGGAAAACTGTAAATAAGTACATATATAGTTGAAAGAATTTCTGTGTGACACTCATGCCGACCTTTAAAAAAGTATATTGATGAGCAAGAAAAAAAATTAAGAAACTAAAAGTGAAACCTTCATAGTCACATTTAAACATCCCTTGGCCTATGGTGATGTCTTTTTTCCCTGGTCATAGCAGATTGATTGGAGAATGTGGAATGCTAACCAATACCTGTAGTCTGAGGGCCCATCCACAAAGTCATATAACCCAGAACATGAAGACAGAAAATCCCGCAATGTCTGCTTTGAACTGGGTTATCTGAGTCCACATTGCCACATATTCCAGTTCAAAGCAGATAATGTGGGATTTTATTCAGCTGTGTGGAAGGGACCCGAGCACTTAATCTGTGCAAGCAGACAACCTGTTGTTTGATGTGTTGCCGAAGACTTTTATGTCTGGAGTCACTGGGTTGCTGTGAGTTTTCCAGGCTGTATGGCCATGTTCCAGAGACATTATTTCCTGATGTTTCGCCCACATCTATGGCAGGCATCCTCAGAGGTTGTGAGGTCTGTTAGAAACTAGGCAAGTGAGGTTTATATATCTGTGGAATGTCCAGGGTGGGAGAAAGAACTCTTGTCTGCTTGAAGCAAGTGTGAATGTTGCAATTGGCCACCTTGACTAGCATTGAATGGCCTTGCAGCTTCAAAACCTGGCTGCTTGCTGTTGGGGGGGGGGTCTTTTGTTGAGAGGTGTTAGCTGGCCCTGATTGATTCTTGTCTGGAATTTCACCTTCCACAGTTATATAAAGCTCACTCGCCTAGATACCAACAGACCTCACAACCTCTGGGGATGCCTGCCATAGATTTGGGCAGGAGAGAATGCTTCTGGAACATGGCCATACAGCCCGGAAAACTTACAGCAACCCAGTCTGTTGTTGCTGATGTTTTCCACAAAGCTGACATATTTACATCTTTCATTTATGAACAGACATGTCCACGCTCACTGTGTAATGACAATTGTCCCTCGGGATACAGAAGAGCAAAGAAGGAAGGGAAGCCATACTGTTGCTATGATTGCCTTCCATGTCCCAAAGGGGAGATTTCCAATCAAGCAGGTAAGAGATGTGGGTTTTCTCCAGCACTTCCACTTCAAGGCAGACAATTACCAAATCAAATCTTACTTGCATCAAGCCAGGGGCCATTACAATTGCAGTGGACTCTTAGTATCTGCTGCATTTTGGTTCCAGATCCTCACAATTCCATGGATACCAGAATTCATAGATGTTTGAGTTCTATTATATGCAGTAATGTAAGAAAATTATGTATTTTGTAAAAATGATAAAAATCAGAAATCTTTTGGATTTTTTAAATATTTTCAGACAATGAACAATTTAATCTATGGATGCAAAATCAGTGCATATTGAGAGAAATGAGAAACATAATAATAATAATAACAACAACAACTACTACTACTACTACTACTACTACTAGAGGTGTGGGGCAGCCATGGAGAAGGCCCTTCCTCTCATTCCCATCACCCACACTTGAGACGGGGTGGGACTGAGAGGAGGACCTCCTCCAATGACCGCAGTGTCTGAGTCAGCCTATAGTGGGAGAAACATGAAAGCTTATTGGTCCCATCCATTTCTAAAACAGATCTCTGGTACTAAAGTAGATATCATCAGCATGACAAAAGTTCCTTAAAATACATATAAGATAATGGGAGAGATCACACAGTTTAAAACTCAGGATTTGACTGTGCCCATCTGGCAGCACCAACTGCTAAAATATTATTTATTGTGACAATGGGTTTGTGATCCTCAAGCAGTCATGCAAGCAGCCATTTCCCTAAGCATGTGTAGCTTTTGCTAACTTACACAGATAACTATCTTGGACACATCTAGGAGCCCCATTGGCGCAATGAGTTAAACCCTTGTGCTGGCAAGACCAACAGGTCGGAGGTTCGAATCCAGGGAAAGCACGGATGAACTCCCTCTGTCAGCTACAGCTCCCCATGTGGCAACATGAGAGAAACCTCCCACAAGGATGGTAAAACATCAAAACATTCAGGCATCCCCTGGGCAACATCCTTGCAGATGGCCAGTTCTCTCACACCAGAAGTAACTTGCAGTTTCTCAAGTCGCTCATGGCATGAAAAAAAATCTTGGACATGATTACAAAATAGGCATGGACAAATGTCAGTCCTGAAGGTGTTTTGGACTTTGACTTTCACAATTCCTAACAACCAGTAAGCTGGCTGGGATTTCTGAGAGCTGAAGTCTGAAACATCTGGAGGGCCAAAGTTTGCCCATGGCCATTATAGAACTTTTGGATGGGAAAACAGAGAGCAGCAAATGTAGACAAAATGGAAGCAGCAATAACCTTAGCCTTGTATACATGTCTCCTCTCAACCTTCTTTTCTGCAAGCTAAACATGCCCAGTCCTTTCAGTCGCTCCTCATTGAGCTTGTTCTCCAGACCCTTGATCCTTTTAAGTCGCCCTCCTCTGGACACATTCCAGCCTGTCAACATCTCCCTTCAATTGTGGTGCTCAGAATTGGACACAGTGTGATTCCAGGTGTGGTCTGACCAAGGCAGAATAGAGGGGTAGTATGACTTCCCTGGATCTGGACACTATACTCCTATTTATGCAGGTCAAAATCCCATTGGCTTTTTTAGCCTCCACATTACATTGTTGGCTCATATTTAACTTATTTTGCACAAGGACTCCAAGGCATTTTTCATACGTACTTGCTGTTGAGCCAAAACTGAGCTTTGTTTTATGGAAATACTCATCATATGACAATCAAGGATGTAAATTTCATCTACATGTATATTTATATTCCAGACATGGACAGCTGCTCTCAGTGTCAAAGAGGTTATTATCCAAACAAGAACCAAGACCTTTGCATTCCAAAAGTTATAATCTTCTTGTCTTATACTGAACCTTTGGGGATAGGTTTAGCAACTTCTGCTGTTGCTCTCTCTTTCATTACCGCTCTGGTGTTAGCAATCTTTGTGAAGTACCACAACACACCCATTGTGAAAGTGAACAATCGGATGCTCTCCTACACCCTTCTCATCTCCCTCCTGCTCTCCTTCCTCTGCACTTTGCTATTCATTGGACAACCTCAGAAGATGACCTGTCTCCTCCGCCAAACAGCTTTTGGAATTGTCTTCTCTGTGGTTATTTCTTGCTTGTTGGCCAAAACCATCACAGTCGTGGTAGCTTTTATGGCCAATAAGCCAGGATCTAAGTTGAAAAAATTGATAGGGAAAAGGCTAGCCATATCCATTATTCTTCTGTGCTCCTTTACTCAAGTCATGATTTGTACACTAAATTTAGCAACCGCACCACCATTCCCAGATTCTGACACAGATTCATTCATTCAGAATAATGTATTGGAATGCAATGAAGGATCTGGAATGATGCTTTATTGTGTCCTTGGCTTTATGGGCTTCCTGGCTATTATCAGCTTCATTGTGGCTTTCCTAGCACAGAAGTTACCCGACAGCTTCAATGAAGCAAAGTTTATCACCTTCAGCATGTTGCTGTTTTGCAGTGTCTGGTTTACCTTTGTTCCAACCTACCTTTCCAGCAAAGGCAAATACATGGTGGCTGTGGAGATCTTCTCCGTCTTGGCTTCCAGTGCTGGGTTACTAGGTTTTGTATTTTTCCCTAAATGCTATATTATCATCTTCAGGCCTGAGCAGAACAAAAGGGAGCAGCTAATGAAAAGAAAAGGTTAGAAAATGCTTATTCTCTTCCATTATTGACACGGGAATATTTCTGATTTTAGTGAGGCAGGGTAAGGAGGTTGCTTACAATAGATTTTTAGACACCTCTAAAGGTTGAAAGCTGGAGCTTTATGTAGCACCACAGCCCCCGTTCATGCTGTGAAGACTTCACTCTGTCTTTTCTTCTCCTTTGCTTCAGTTTCCCCAATAGTGTAGATACCTTCCTTTGTAGTAGTTTTGGGTGGAATTTAAAATCCCCCCAGAGGTCAGCCTTAGTTGGTCTATTCCATTTCCCTGTATAGAGCTTTCTGGCTAGACTTCTCCTCTTTCTACAGCAGAACTACTATGACTTAGGCTTGGGATTGTCTGGTAACTCTAGGCCTAGCAATCCAAAAACAGGCATCCTTAGCACTTGCGTTCAGCAGTATTTTTATACCAGAAGTCCAAAGGTCAACAGACACTTATGACCAGCTTAAGCTTCTCAAGAAAGAAGATTAAGACAGTTTATAACCATTGCTTTGCACCAGAGAGATTACTGCAGCCAGCAAAGGCTCCTTTTGTAATGTATTGTTTTAAGTTACCTTATGATAGCCCCAGGTGGAGTTAACCCTTTATTCATCTTGTTTGCAGTAAACCCATTTGGTTATTCAGTTCTTGTGGGTTTTTCGGGATATATGGCCATGTTCTAGAAGCATTTCTCCTGACGTTTCGCCTGCATCTATGGCAAGCTTCCTCAGAGGTGAGGTCTGCTGGAGCTGGGAAAAAAAGGGGTTTATGTATCTGTGGAATGACTAGGGTGAGACAAAAGGCTTTTGTAAGTTGGGCTGGGTGTGGAATTTTTTTTTAATACTGGTAGCCAGATTTTGTTCATTTTCAAAATCTGGCTACCAGTATTAAAAAATTCTAAAATTGCAACAGCAAAAACAGCAGAGAGAAAAACAGGCAGGGACATCTAATCACCTTTCAAGAAGAGTTTGCTCCAGGCACAGTCAGCCCATTGTATGCTAATCAAGGTGGTCAGTTGAAACATCCACACCCAGCCCAACTTACAAAAAGCCTTTTGTCTCACCCTGGTCATTCCACAGATATATAAACCCCCTTTTTCCCAGCTCCAGCAGACCTCACCTCTGAGGATGCTTGCCATAGATGCAGGCGAAACGTCAGGAGAAATGCCTCTAGAACATGGCCATATAGCCCGAAAAAACCCACAAGAACTGCGTGATTCCAGCCATGAAAGCCTTCGACAAACCATTTGGTTATCTTTTCACCTTGCCTAAAGTGCCTCTGTGTGTTAAAGGGTCTTAATCTTAATAGAAGGTATACTGGTAGTCCCCAAGTAAAGCCAGACACTATAATTTTCTCAAAGGCTTGGGCGTGCCATCACACACACTGTGATATAATGCATGTCAAGGCTGTTAAACTCCATTTTGAGACTGAATCATATGACCATGCAGATGGGGACATAGATGAATTAATTCTATAAAGTGCAACAATACACTGGATAATTTTGCACAACGGACAGGAACTGAATGCTTGGGAGCTGTTAACAAGCTTCTGTAGTCTTTGTGCCTCTTTCATGAAAACACTATAATGAAATCTATTTTGAAGAAGACGAAAGAAAGATAAAATGACATGATAACCTATAGCAAAGGGTTCACTTGACAGAAAGGAGAAAAGTACAACTTCGATCCACAAGTGACGTCTCAGTTCTGTTTTCGTGGCTTGCAATGACTTGGGACTCGCTGAAAGTGATGGGAATCCCAAATGAAAAAATGGTGGGGAAATGATTGATAAATTCCATTGTTCTTTTTTGTCTAATAAAAAGAATGGTTGAAATAAAGATTTTCCTACTGTCCTGTATTTCCTGACTGGTTTCTGAGTGAGTATATACAGTGGTCCCTCACTTATCGCAGGTGTTATGTTCCAGAACCACCCGCAATAAGTGAAATTCTGCAAGGTAGGGACACCCCCTCACCTTCCCTCCTCACCTTCCTTACCTTTCTCTTCCTCCTCCTCATCACCGCCTGGGCCTGTTGCTGCCGCTTGGTCCACACGATGCCTCCTCAATCGTGGGGCCCAAGCGGCAGCAAGAGGTCCTTACCTTCTTGGGCTTCTCCCAGGTGGTGATGAGGGCTTCTCCCAGATGGCGATGAGGAGGAGGAAGAGGAAGGTAAGGAGGGTGAGGGAGCGGCTCTTTTCTCCTCACTTGCCTTACCTTCCTCTTCCTCCTCTTCGTTGCCACCTGGGCCTCTTGCCACCCTTTGGGTCCCACACCACCTCCTCAATCCTCAGCATTCCCGTGCTAAATTCTTTTTAAAAAAAAACCCCCACAAAACAGCAAGTCCACACTAAGCCAACTGCGAAGTAGCGAGGGACCACTGTAGTGGGCTATTTCTAAGTTTCACTTTCAGAGGAACATTGGGAAGGATTCCTACTCCAGTAGAGCTTTGATTATCATGGGAATAGAATAGAATAGAATAGAATAGAATAGAATAGAATAGAATAGAATAGAATAGAATAGAATAGAAGGAATTGAATGGTATTGAATTTTACAAAAAGCTTAAATGTGGGCCTCCTTAAAGGCAGAGCGCTAATCTAAAAGGGCCTGCCAGACATGTTACTGTCTGATCAACCACAAAGCATAGAGTGGTTGCAGTGGGAAAGTCTTGAAGGCTGGTATGGTAAATCTGGGAATGGTGGCATACGGCTCAGCCTAGCACATATCCACATGGAGGCCCATTAGATTAGGTTGAGGTATAATAATAATAATAATAATAATAATAATAATAATAATAATAATCTTGATTTAATACCCTGCCACCATCTCCCCAATGGAGACTCGGGGTGGCTTCCACGAGGCCAAGCCCAACAGCATATTACAATAAAGTAAAACCAAAACACAATAACAACACAATAAAATACATTCAACATATGAGTGCAAAGACAATAAAGCAAAATCATACACTGTGAAATAAAATAACATAACATAACAATGAGCGGGCCACACGTGCAAGATAAAAATAAAGGTACTAAAAATACTAAAATCAGGATGAGATAGGGATGAAGCAGATTGTTTGTGGGGGAGAAACTTGTAAAGGAACTGGGTCATAAATATAGATCTTCATAAAGGTGGGGAATATACTCTGGGGACAGAAACTGTTGAGGGGGAGCAACTGTGTATGATAATATGGCTATTTTCCAAAAGCGCATTGGAAAAAACAGTATTTTAGATCCCTCTTGAAAATGTCTAAGGTGGGCCTGTGACTTCAAGGGGAATGTGACCCCGTCCAGTACAGGTTGCCACCCAATACCCTAGTCAGACAAGCGACTGACCTGGAGGACCTCTGTCTTGTCAGGATTGATCCTCAGCTTGCTTGTCCTCATCCAGATTGTCACAGCGGCCAAGCACTGGTCCCGTATACGAGGGGCTTCTTTGGAATCTGGTCTTGGCATGAATATTAAAGTCTCCCAAAACTATAAGTTGTTGGAAGCCCAAAGCCGAATCTGAGACCACTTCTGCTAGTTCAGACAGGGAAACTGCTGGGTTGTGGGGTGGATGGTACACCAGCAGAATCCCCAGGCTGTCTCAAGCTCCAACTTTCAAGTAGACACACTCAAACCTCGAAGATTGCGGAATGGTGCATCTGATCAGGGCAATGGACTGCCAAAAGATTACCGCAACCCCTCCTCCCTGTCCCTCGGACCTAGCCTGCTGATGCACCCCGAAGCCCAGTGGACAGAGCTGGGTGAGATTTACCCCATCCAGTTCGTCCAACCATGTCTCGGTGATGCACGCCAAATCCACCCCCTCATCCAGGATCAAATTCTGAATGACAGAAGTCTTCCCATTGATGTACCTGACATTCAGGAGCAGGATCTTAAGTCCAGGGAGTCTGTCGTGGAGACTACCACACCTATCCTTCTCCAGGGTCACAAGAACTCTGTTGCGCTTCTCCCTGGGTAAAGAGTGACCGGTCTTCCTCCTTCCCCATATCACCTGAATGGCTTCCAACCCACATGAAACCACTCCCTCCTGGTGGATAGGTTGAGTGAAACTATGTTCTGAGGGGGTCAGTCAACTCTCCAGAAAAGGAGAGTCACCTAGTGAATTCATCTGGCTAGGGAGAAAAGATATCTCCACTGGAGATAGGGAGAAAGAGTCATCTGGTGTTGAGAGGGGGCAAAACAAGGGAAGCGTCTGTGGGTGGGGTTGGGTATTAGGACTGGCAGAAATGGAAATTAGGGAGGGGGGTCTCAAAAAGGAACTCTCCTGAGAGGGGCACAGCAGATGGGCTTTCTACCCTATTTCTAGGGGTGGTTTGATTCTTCGATTGCGACCTCAGCCCAGAAACCAAAGGGCGGATCAATGTATCTACTAACACCCTTCTAAAAGTAATGCCCCATTGCTTTCCTTGAGGCCCAAGAGAGAACAACTCCTCCACTAACAGTCTGTCTTTCAACGAAATCAGAAGGCATGAGGAGCAGTCCTGAGATTGATAGTCTCTATAAAGCCAGTCAATGGTCTTGATCTTCACTTCTGGCCAGCTTATAGATAATATTTGGGATAGAGACCTTTGGACAGTTCTCTTTGACGTCCATCTGCCTCTGTTCACTAATAGGTCCAAAACTTCCACAGCCAAATTGTTTGTTCGTAGCAGATGTTGATGATTGCGTGGAGTGTCCAGAGATTGTCCAAACAACTCAGATGTTAAATTGTCATTTGTCCTCTGCAAGACAGGATTTGTATTCTCCAGTCCTGCCCTCCTCTCTCCATTTTGATGAACAAACAACTCACCCCATCCCCAAACTCCAAAAGGCTCCCTTCCTAGCCTATCAACTACCTCCAGCCCCTCAAACCTGTTCTTCTCCTGGTCTTCCATTGCACATAAGTCCTCAACAACATTAATACGGACTGAAGATCCAGCTTTTACAATGTCATCAGGAATGGGATTCTTCACAATCAGGGAAATTCCTTGGAAAAGGCGATCTATTTTCTTATTCATCGTCTCGAT